CCCAGCTGCGGAACGAAGCTTCGCTCCCCTCTGCGAGAGGAAAAGGCTCCGAAGCGGTGGCGAGTGGTGCACGTCGTCTGTGGGAAGCCCTGTCACGGTGTGCTTGGCTCCGACGCTGATGGGAGCGTGTGGCAGCAAACCGGAAGTCCTGGGCGCTGGCTGGAGTCCGTGGACCCCACCAGTGGGAAACCTTGACCGAAGCTGGGTCTTCTCTTTGCATCCTCCGGATTCTTGATCATCTTTTTTCCTTCATTTGTTGGTGTTGGAGGTGGTTCATGACTAGTTTTGCATGGACTTGTCTAGTTTGTCCATTTGTTAAAGTTAATCCCTGGGATAATGCGAAGACAGCAGTGGTGGATCAGACCAAAGGACCCTGGTCTGTTTTCTGATGGTGGCTCGAAGTGGGTGCCCTGGTAAGAGTGCAAGCAGAGAGCAAGCGTATAGCAGTGTGTCCCCTGGATTGTGCTTTCCAGTCTTAGGATTTCTGAATCTGTATTGAGTATCGTCATTGGCAAGAAAGTTCTGTTGCGCCCTAAACTCGGGTGAACTTCTGGTGCCGCAGTGTCCTTCTGCAAACTGTTCCATAGCTTCATTACCTGTCGTGTGAAGAAGCGTCACTTTCTGGTTTGGATGCGTTGTCTGCCCGTTTCCCTTACCACCCCAGTGCTTGCACTGGAAAAATGCATGGATGTTCGTTTGATAATTGTCCTCCCCGGGGCAAATATCTAGCCAGTTGGTCTCTTGTTTTGCTTTGCAAACCTGTGGTCTGTCTATTTGTTTCTCATATGGAAGATGTTTCATACCAGTGACTAGGTAATGTGAAAGTGAGGAGTATGTAGTGCTCTCGGGTATTTTCAGCATGATGTTTTGGCTGGGATTAGGTTGCCAAATGTATCTCAGTACTTGGAATATGAGCTCATTGCAGCTGCTGTGCCTGAGTACTGGCAGCCTGGGGGGGCTGGTCCACTGTGTGGTCTGGAAGACGCATCTGTATTGGAGAGCATTTGGCTTTGCTTCTGTGCGTGGATTGACTAAACAGATAAGTAAAGGAAGTGACCTCTTGCAACCTCAATCCGTGATCACAACTAATCAGATATCTGATGATTTATTTCTGCCATGCTGCAGCAGTGCAACGTGAAAGAAGCAGACGAGTTAAGTTTTGGACATCTCTGAATTGTAAAATCCTCTTCACTAGGCTAATTACAGAATAAATTAGGCAAACCTGTTTAAGCCTACTATAGGTCTACTTGATTCAATTTTGGATGTAAAGTGCTTTTTCCCGCTTACGAGTCCAGCTGATGAGGAGGTTTCACAGTTAAAGGTCTTCATGAAGCAACCAGAGAGTTTCCCGCAGGAGCAACTTTCTTGCATATCTGTTTGCAAGTTAGTAGAAATGAAAGTGGATGAACGTAGGAGTTACCAGATGTGGCAATATTTGACTAATGCAGTCAAGGGAAATGTCTTTGTTAAAATAGGTTTATTTTTGAAATGAGAGGCGGAAACTGGATCTCTTCTAAAGCTCTGCAAGGAACATGTTTCTCGTTAAAGGGATTGTTTTCTTGCAGGTCCCACCTCACTTATCAAACAAGCTTTTGGCAGCTTTGGCAATTTTGAGAAGTGCTTGAGTCAATTTAGCAGCCAGAAACCAGAAGCCAGAGCGCCGGAGTCAGCTGACTGGAGGTCACGGTTTCATATCAGCGATTCGAGGGGAAAAAATAAATCTTTGAATGAGAAAAGCGTTGTTCTGAATTCTGATGGGGATACTTCCTGTTTACTCTGTAACTGCTTTCATAGTCGCTCTGCATTTTTTTGTGCGCTTGGTCCAGAGAATAAGTTGCTGTAAGAGTTGTGGCAGTGCCCGCTTTGAGGATGGGGTGAATTGGGTGGCTCGCTAAGACCAGGTGAAATTGGTACCTATATCTGGGGAGGACGGGAGCCTGACCTGCTCATGGGCTTGGGGGAGCAGCTGCAGGCGCTGCTTCACAGAGGACTGTGTTCCTGGTGTTGCTGTGTTGGGGGCAAGTTTACTGCTGATACAGAACGTTGGTACAGCGGTTTTGGATGTTGTTTTCTGTTGTTTGGGTTTGGTTTGTCTTGAGGCCAGTCTGTTGGTTCAGCTCCTTCAAATATTCCTTCTGCCTAAGCAGAACGACCCTGTCCTCCTCTCTGACGGCTCATGCCTTGAGCTGGCTCCTGCGGCAGCCACCCAGAAATGGATGGATGTCAGCTACCTGGTGGAGGAGGCCCTGTCTCTCTGCTTGCTTTAGTTTTTTTTCAGTTGTGTGGTTTTGAGTGACTTGCATGCAGTCCTGGTAGGTCTTCAAAGACCATGTGCAGTAAGCTGGTTGCTCATAGTATGAATTTGGAGGATCAGAAGATTTTTATTGTTCCGTCAGTTCTGCTCTGCCTATTCTAGAATACCGATGTGATGCGTTGTGGTTGTTTACCGTGCTCACCTAAAATACATTTCAAAATTTCCCCTTTGCATTTTTAACATTTGATTGCTTTTTTTGTTGTCTTCTTTTTCTTCTAGAACTCTACTGAGAGCCACAATTGTGCCAAAAGTATCTTGACCTCAGACAGGCTGCAGATCGTTGTGACCCTGTCGGAGTTCTTTAACGAAACCTGGGAGGCAGCCAACTGTGCAAGTATGTGACTTGTTCTGTAGCTTTCATGCTACTGTTATGACTTAGCCCCTACAGTCTGCACAGGTCAGAATTGTGTGTATTTAAACACAGTCGGTAGATAACACAAAAATCCTAAACTAGGGCCACTCCAATGAAGGGTGCAAGAGCTTTTTATTCTGTAAGGGATACTGTCAAAATCTGAGGGCACTAGTCTGTTGGAAAACCTAGTTACTATATAAATATTTCTTTTAGGCTGTTCTTTCAAAAGTTAGTGTTGATAGTTTTCTTTGTGTTCTACAGACCTTGCTGGAGACTTTGCTTAGCTTCATTGTTGTTTCTTCTGTTTTTCTCAGTCTTCCCATTTTTTTTAAAAGCTTACATGAGAAACTTTTCCGTGTTTGCTAATACAGTCAGTAACGCTGGGATGCTTACAAGTTGAACGGTATCTGCCTCCACAGCCATGCTTTTTGTTTAATTTTATGGGTGGAGGGTGTCCAGGTCTATCCCTGTATCTCATTGTCCCTGTGCTGATGGTGCTGTGTCATGCTCACAGCTCAGCTATGGCTTTTGGCCCTTCCACTGGTATGGGAAGCGGGGCTCTAGGTGTGTGAGAAAACAGAGAGAGAATAACACTGTGGAGCTGAGTGTTACAGGTGGTGGGTTTGTTGCAGAGCCCCTTGAGAGCCGAGAAGAGTTTGTTTCCATTTGTGAGTCTGGGCTGTGTGAGGGCTGGAAGGCAGCACGGGAGGAGCTTTGCGGTCTGTGCCGTCCTGCTGTGCTTAGCTTGTGACCCGTGTGCTGCCTGCCCAGTGTCCAGCTGAATGCTCGCCCTCAGCACTGATAGCGCTTCCTCCTTTGCGGATACTTTTCTCAGATGTTGGCTTGCTCTCACGGCGCTGTTGCTGAACATTTAAATTCCCAGATTTCTGTTGTTTTCAAGGGTCTGTCTGGCTAGAGCACCTGGAGTGGGATGGGTGGAAGCAGTAACATGGTGGGGTTGAGCCTATGACTGAGAGGAAAGCCCCAGAGCTCCCCTCAAGCTGGTGCGATGGTCAGCTCTTTTCTTAAACAGTAAAAACCTGTACTCTTGATTCTGCTGTTGTGTTCGTGGTCTAGCTGTTGCTGGATGCTCTCCATTTCATCTCTGCTGCTGTTGCTTCTGCTGTCGTGTAATGGCTGTTAGTTGCTGGAAAAAGCCAGATTTGCAGGGTAGAAAATAAAAAGTAATGTCTTGTTTTATCTTAAAGTGCAAAGATAATTCAGACCCCCTCTTCAGAAAGCCCTTGATGATAGTCTTCATCTTTCACTTAATCAAGGCCAATTAATTCTGAAATATGTTCTCTATGAAGAGTTAGGTCAGGAGGTCTGAGACTTCAGTGGCAGGCAGATAAGGAAACCACAGTGTTGACTAGACCTGTCTTTTATAGTCGAGAGCTCTTTATGCAGGAGTGGAGTGTGTGGGGCTTGTCGGCTATGGAAATGTTAGAAATTAGAATATCCTGATGTTTTTCTTTCTCTTTGACAGATTGTTTAAAGAACAGCAGTGAGGGACTATCAAATGCTACTGTAGAATTCCTGGATTTATTCAATAAATCTCTGACATGTTTTGAACATAACCTTCAGGTATTTATGCTGTGTATTTAAGAAAAGCACTAAATGCTCTAATTGCTAGCAAAATCTTATTTATGCCAAGTAAACTGCAGATCCATGTTAGGCAAGTAAACTGCTGGTGAGTTTCTGAATTTTAGGCAGATAAAGCAATGGTCTGAAAAATGCAGATGTTTACAGATTGAGAACCTAAAATTAATTCTAATTGATATTCACCTTGACTTCATTTTGTATGTAATTGCAACGCTACTTCACATCAGAATTTCTGGATTCACAATAGTTGATAATTATGTAGTGAGAAACATCATGTCTGCATGCTGCAAGTCTCTCTTTTTCTACCTCTTAGGAAAACTGTTGTCTTCTGACTTAACAATTCAATCTTTAAGTAGCCTTTTGATAATATAGACTAGTCCAGAAAGACCAGAACCTTAAATCATATTGTGTCCAAAGAAGAGCAATGAGGCTGGTGAAGAGTCTAGAGAACAAGTCTTATAAGGAGCAGCTAAGGGAACTGGGGTTGTTTAATCTGAAGAAAAGGAGGCTGAGAGGGGTCCTTATTGCTCTCTACAACTACCTGAAAGGAGGTTGTAGTGAGGCAGGTGTTGGTCTCTTCTCCCAGGTAACTAGCGATAGGACGAGAGGCAATGGCCTCAAGTTGCGTCAGGGGAGGTTTAGATTAGATATTAGGAAAAATTTCTTTACTCAGAGTGGTCAGACATTGGAACAGGCTGCCTAGGGAACTGGTGGAGTTCCCATCCCTGGAGGTGTTTAAAAAATGTGTAGATATGGCATTTCGGGACATGGTTAGCAGGCATAGTGTTGTTGGGTGGGTGGTTGTATCTGATGATCTTAGAGGTCTTTTCCAACCTTAATGATTCTATGATCAGTGTAATAATTCTTTTGACTAGTAAAATTATGGGTAGAAAAAGATTGTCCATATTGCAAAGGCAGTGTAATTCACTTAGTGAAATAAATGTGATAATTGTCCTCAAAGAAAATGCCCTAAATAGCCTAAGAAACTGCGTGTATTCCACTTCATTTGGAAACTGGCCAAGTTCTGGCATCATTCAGTGGGAGACAATGGGTATGAGACAAACTCTGAGGAAACTCTCTGCTTTTTTATTGTTAGTGATTTCTAGGAATTGTGCCTTCATAGGCCTTGGCCAGGAGCGGTGTGGACTGGCCGATTGATCAGTTCAAGCGTCTGAACTAGAACTTAACCCAGTGGTCGGAGGGTAGCTGACACAGCCATTACTGGGCTGGAATATCTTTAGAGACAGTAGTTTTGTTCTCAAGTGTATCGTATTGCATTCACCTGCGGCCTTCACCACCCCTGAAAAGGTTTGCTTACTACAGCAAAGTCTGTCCCTGTCAGTGCAGCTCAGCAGTAACAACCATTACTTGTTAGGTATGGGCAAACAAAAAACAAACCACACTATTAAGAAACCTGATCCCTGGCTCCAGAGTAACACTTAATTGCTAGTATTTTTTTTGCTCCTTCTGGGAACTGGTACTTTAAAAATAAATGGTTTTTTGTTTTGTTTTAAAAAGCTGCTAGTTCAGGGAGCAGTTTGAGATGCATAATCTGCAGGAAATGGATCCTGTCCCTAGTGAGTTAGAGTTGGTCCCTTTTCCTCCTGCATTCTCCTGTGAGTTGTCTGTCTGGGCCTCTAATCAATCTAGGATGCTAGAAATCTGGATTTGGTTCAAACTTGACTCTAGTTTTTAATTTTTTTTATTTTTTTTATTAATGCATTAAAACTCTGCATGAATGCTGTTTTATAACCCTAGGGACAAGCCGTCTATCTGTCACCAAATAACTACACGGAAGTGTGTAAAAACTGCAATGAAACCTACAAGATGTTGAATGACCTGTATAACAACTTGCAAAGGATCAACAGGCAAGGTGGTGAGTCTGGGCACTCCGCGCACTTGTGTATCGACGTGGAAGATGCAGTAAGTATTTATTAACGCTCATCAGGGACAGCTTGTCACGGAGGTCTTTATTATTTGTGCTTGTCTTGCTAGGGATTGCCTTTTCCCTCTCGATGTGGGTCAATGCGGGCAGCAGCCCCGTGTCCCGTGAGGGGAAGATGGCTTGGTGAGGCTCCCTTGCTCAGTCTTGTCCTCAGTCAGCGCAGCAGGAGCGTGACTGAAGCTCCCGATCACCTGAGTGCGTTCCAGTTTGAGTAGCTGCACTTTAATTTCTTGTTACGGCGAAGGGGATGGATTTAAAAAAAAAAAAAAAAAAATCTCTTAATCTTCTGGCTTTTAATGTGAAGCTTCACTGCTATTGTTCTAGCCAGGGTAATAATTGATTCCTTATTACAGCAGCTGTTTCTAGGGGTCCTCAGCGTTGGCGACGTGTTTGGAGAAAGCTTTGTTATATTGTGGGGTTTTAAGTGGTTGGGCAAAAGGAGTGCTGTTGAAAGTATGGGGTTAGCCTTGTCACCGAATTCTCTGGGAAACAGGCATGTGGCAATGTCTGCAGTGTATCTGAGCGCAGTCTGGTTTTGAAGCTTGTAAAAGTTTTGGAGTGAAATCTTGGCTGCGTTTAAATTGTGCGTTTCTACATTTTCAAGGATTTGCTTGCTCTTGGGGGGAGATCTGTTCAAGTGGTGTTTTCCGAGGTCGTATTTGAACGCTTGGATGTCTTGAGGCCTGACTGTTTGCCATGCTGCACAGCAAAAACCCATGTGCTTGATGTTTTTCTTGTAGATGAACATCACTCGGAAGCTTTGGAGCAGGACTTTCAACTGTTCTGTTCCCTGCAGTGATACCGTCCCAGTGATTGCGGTTTCATCCTTTATTCTCTTCCTGCCTATTGTTTTTTACCTTAGTAGCTTCCTTCACTCGAAGCAGAAGAAACGGATACTCATTTTGCGTAAGTGGTGGTGCTGGCATTTCGCTGCTAGAGTTGGGTGGTGCCAGGGACTGGCTTGGCTCTCGTGGGAGAGGGGGCCCAGCCAGATCTGCCTGCAGCTGTGCTGACGGCGCTAATAGCGACTATTAGTCTGCTGCTGTCCCCTGAAGAAGGGTAGTAAAGAGCTTCAGCCATATCTTTTCATTAAAGTTTCTGGACGTGAGCAGAAAGCTGTTTGCAAGTCTGTGTCAGATAAATAGAGGGAGTGGAGAGACTAGTTTTGTGGAATTCTTTGTGTTTAATTTTCATGTAATTTTTCCCTTTCTAGCCAAGCGCATCCAGTCAAATGCCAGTCTTGTGAACATCCAAGAAAAATACAGCTGAGCTGCAAAACAAAACCTGAGAACTGCTGCTGGTATACAGTGGGTACAATTGTGTTGGAATGAGGCCGGCACAAAAGAGGAGTTAATTATGGTTTAGTGTAATGATACAGAGCAACACAAGTTAAACAAAATGCTGTCTGACTTCTAAGCAAGGATATTAACAAACATGACAAGACAGGGCTGTGTGACACTGTATGGACTCTGGCTTTGAACAATCTGTGGTGGTTTTTTTTTTCAGTCTCGGGCTGAAGCTGTTGTTTTTCTGTTTCTAAGCTTTTGTACTCATCAATAGAACAGCTACTCTTTACTTGCATGGTATTTTTCCATGTTTATTGTATTTGTTTCACAGAAACATGAGATTCTGAATCTTTTTGAGCTGATTTTTGTAGACAGACAAAACTTGAAATAATATTTGATGTTCCTGCTTGAAAGACTATGTTTAATTCCACATAATGTTCAGTCTTGCAAGGTTCAGGATGGACAGGAAACTTGTAAAAAAGAAAAAGTTCCCATCTTTCCTGTGGCGCTCTGAAGTCGTGCTGCTGGTATCTGTTAAAAAAAAGCATGAAATATGCAGAGAAAGTGATAATATATAATGTCCAAAGCCAGCAACAAAAGGAACAGAACAGTGCTAGACTTGAATAGTAATCATTGATGACTACAGTATTCAGTTATCTCTGAAACAGGTGGCATATTTAGTTATTTGCACACTTTGACCACTAAAATAATTGCTTTTCAAATGTTACATTTTCAGAGGCTTATTTTGGATGTCTTCTTGGGTAACTGAATGCTTCAGTGTTTGTCTGTTAATTGTGTTATTTCCTTTCCTTTTAATTATAAAGAGTTTTAGTTGGTTTTTTTGTTGTTGTTTTTGTAGAGGAGGTATGAGGTAAAGTCAAGTCACTGGAGGTGCTGAATTTCCTGGTCTAGAGCTTGCTATGGCTTAATACAGAGGTGTTTACAGGAACTTAGTAGGGGAAAGGTTACCTTTTCTAGATAATACGTATTTTAGTGGTAAATGAACCAGAGGGTTCTCTTAACTTAAAAACTGTCCTGGAGGACAGTGAAGATACTGTGTTGGGAATTGATGACTTTCAAGAAAGAGTTTAAAAAACTAGGCCTGTGAAATAGGTGAATGTAAGCAAATTCCAGCTTGCAGGATTCCAAAGCTGATGGGGAAATTTGTACGATAACTGCGGGGATGGATGGTGTTACTGACAGCACAATGCAACAGCTGCAGCAGTCCCGGCGGTGCAGTTTGGTTATGATAGTCCTGATCTGGGAGAGTGGTGGGGTGGAAACGAGTTTGAGATGAATGAGTGCTCCCATTTTCAAATGTGTTTTCTAACCTTGGGATAAAAACGAATGCCCATTACAGCTAAAAAATTAAATTTCTCATGGAGTCTGTGTGTCTGATGTCTGTCAAAAAAACCCATGAAGTAGTCTTCTGTATTTGACTTGCTTTGGAGCCTAGAATGTTAGTTTTTTCCTTTGCACTAAGGCTCAAATAAATATATAATAATGTATGAAAACAGTCTGAAAGCCCTTCAAGTTATTGGTTTTCTTGTTATTTTTTGTGGTTTTCTGAGTTAGGACATACTGTGGGTTTTAAAGTCAAGTTGACAGTATGTTTAATAGTAAGTAAAATATTGTGTTAGCAATTGGTCCCACCCAGATGATTGCCTGTTTGTGTTTTATCTGTAAGAAGTATTTATTGCCCTCTGTTAAACATGCAAATTACCAGGTCAACGCTTGGTTTGTTCTATGTAGTTTATAACAATAACTTAAAACTGTGTTTCTCTTGCTGATTACCTACCGTTACCTTCTTGCAGTAGGGAGAGGCATGCTGCCTTTAAAAAAAAAAGGATATTTTTTTTTTATATCTCTTATTCTTAAACTTCAACTTTCTGGGACTTATTCAGCTGCCTGGTTGCCTGCTCTAATAGCATTACATTGATTTGGGACATCATATGATTGAGAGCTGTTCAAAGCAATCTTTCATTCGTGCAGATAAAGCCAGTTTGTATGTGCAGCATTTCAGAATGACAGCTTTTATACGGTAAGCAGTGGCTTTTTGAGCACATTCATGTTAAGTAGGTCTGAAAGTCATTACTTTTGGATATGGTGGTTAAGCACTTTAAAAAAAAAAAATCAGCTTTTCTTATTTTGCTGGCTGCTAAGCCAAACGGAGATACTCATGTGACTTTTGTTTTTTATTTTAAAGCAGCAGTAAAGTTTACACTTGAAATTTTTAATATTACATCTACTATTTTCTCCTTTCTCACTTCCCCTCCCCCAACTTTGTACTACTAACTTTCTTTACACTGTGTTGTATTTTTTGGTAGGATGTTTCATATATAAATTGATTGAATTCTCTTTATACTCTATTTCCTAGAGAAATGTGGAAGCACACAGACTGTGTTGAATGAGAGCTAGAATTCTTTTTGCTGCTACTCTTTCATCTTGGTTTATTTTTTGCCTTTTTGATATTATATGTACTAAATAGGATAAACTTTGAAATACCAGTTGTTTGTATCTTTTTGTGCATATAAAGATTTCTTAATGTGGGGTAGCACTTTGATTCATATTTATACTTACTAGGAAACCTCTAAACACGGAAAATCAGCTTTAATAAAGAATGTCAATAAAAAATAAACAGTGTGGTTGCTTAATTGCTTAATTTTAATAGTGTTACACTCCTGCTGTTCTGGGTTTGTGTTCAGAAGAACTTGCTTATTATTCTCCGTTATGCCATTTGCAGGTAAACAGCATCAGAAGGATGTGTTCAGCAGTGCTGCGCTGAATTCCAGAACAAATGAACTGCAACTGGTGAGAAAGGGTGGAGTTTCGGCTCGGTCAGAGCCCGCTGAGGTACACAGAAAGGCTCCGGTTAGTCGCAGCAGAGCTGCTTGGGTGGTTGTGCGGGGGTAAGGCTAGTGGGGGTGGTTCGTGGTCCTGCTGGGGAGGCTTTTGGTTGCCAGCACCGGCCACTCTCTCGGCTTCAGCAGGCGCGGGGCGATTTCTGTTGAGCTGGAAGAGTTCTTCAAAAATGGCAACACAGTGCCTCGCCACGGAGAGAGGCGGGCGTCTTGCCTGGCAGTTGTGGGCCTGTGCACCTGTAGTAGGATGTGAGTATCTCAAAGGCAAATATAAATCTCAGTGTGTCACTTGCAAGGGACTTCCTGAAAGGCTGGGAAAGTTGTAATGCCGGTGAGGTATGGCTTCGGCTGGAAAGCTAGGAACAGTTCTGGTTGCCTGTGTGCTTGGGGGGGAGAGTAAGCACAGCAGAAGGGCAAGTGGGGAGTGGGGGATTTACTCTGCGAGTGCAGCAGAGGGTCAGAGTAATTGAGGGTGGCAGTGAGGGTCTGTAAGCACATTCAGAATGGTGTTCTGGAGCGAGAGGCTGTGAAAGTTCACAGGTGGTTGGAAGACCCTGAGAAAAGAGGGTGCAAATGGGGCCTTGGCTGCAGCTGAGCTGGAGAGGGGAGGCTCTGGCTGCTTGGTGGAGGTGGTGTTGGGGACTGGTAGCAGGGAGAGGGAGGTGAGCTGCTGGCGCAGGTCAGGAACAGGAGCAAGGAGTGGGATGGCAACAGGGACTTGCTTCCGAGTTACTTAAAAGCAGCTGCTTTCTTCGGGGAGGCTACCTGAACTGTGTGGTGCTGTGGATGGTGTTGAAGTAATCCTGCTTCAAAGGCTCCTGTTTTATTTCAGGCTGAGTGAGGGTTCCTGTTTAGCACTAAACAGGGGCCTTTTTTCTTTAAAACAAACCAAAAGTACTTGGGTTTTGTGTAATGGCTGGGTTTTTTTTCCCAATCTTTATTAAATGTCTGCTACAATCACAAAACGGCTTCAGTTTCCTGATGTTTCGTTTCTGGTGCTTACTGTCCAGTTAATCATGTAGCATCAAATCTGCTTGCGTTTCTGCTAATTCATGCCCTGAATATAGTGTTTCTCTGGAATGCTAAGCTGTGTGATCAGCAAAGTCACTGCGCTCCTACTCGGAACATATGGGTAACTTACCAATTTTTATTCATATTTTAGTGTCAATTTTCCTTCTGGGACTGGTGTAAGCATTTTTAGCCCAATCTTCATGAAGTTTGTGCAGGATGCACCTTCTGTATTTTTACCAGTGTAAGAGCAGAGCCAGGAAGTTCTGCAGCTTCTCTGAAGCGTTTCTTCTCCCGGCACTGTGATCTGTGTCTGTTGCGACTTGCTGGAGTCAGCCAGGGTGATTTATGTGCGCCTAGCAGCCTTGTGTTGTGCCGAGAGTTGAAATGCTGTTGCTATTGTGGCGACTCTAGTCTAACCTAAGGCAAAAATAACATGTAAAGGAAGAAAACAGGAGGTGATGCGATTGATGACCAGAGTCAGTTGTGTGGTAACCTTTTCCAAATGCAGTTGTTCAATACAGAGATACCAGCTTCTCTGCTGGCCATCGGGAGGGCTTCTGGTGTGGTCTGTACCTGGGACTGGGTGTGGGCTTCGGGAGCTGTCTGACCAGCATCTTCTGCTGCGGCACACAGCTTCAACACTCTGCATCTGCTCTGTTTGAGAGATAGTGCTGGTCCAAACTGGTTTCCCCCAGAATCTGCTCCAGGGCCAGAGCAGCCACCTGGGGCACTTCTGGTTTGTGCTGGCTGACGGGAGCATGTGGGAGCACCCATGAGCATGCACGCTTTTCCAGAGGCACCATGGGCTAAGATGGACCTTCCTACCTCGCACAGGTTAGAGGTGGGGGAAGAGGGAGTGTCATGGTTTAATGCTGCAGCCCACAACGAAGCACCAGACAGCCGCTCACTCACTCCTCCCCTTCCGCCCCTTCGGGATGGGGAGGAGAAATTGACAAAAGGGGAAACTTGTGGGTTGAGGTAAAGACAGTTTGAGAAGACAACAAAGAAAATACTACTACTAATAATGAATATGCAAACCAAACTATACACAATAAAATTTTCTCATGACCCAGTGAGCAATTCACAGCCGGTTCCCAAGCAGTGATTGTGGAACCTGGAACTTGCAAATTTCACAAAACTCCTGGAGAAGACCAAACTCCTGGAAAAAGAGGAATTGAGAGGATTCCTGCCCCCAGCCAACCCCCATTTATAAACTGAGCTTGACGTTCATGGTATGGAATATTTCTTTTGGCCAGCTTGGGCTGGCTGCCCGGCTGCGCTCCCTTCCCGCTTGTTGGGAAAAGGCCTGGACTCTGTGCAAGCACTGCTCAGCAGTAACTAAACCATCCCTG